CCCTCTTTCCTTATCTGTTCCCTCGCTGTCCCTTGTCCCTGCTGTCCCTAGCTCTCACTGTCCCTCATCCTCACTGCCCCCTCCCCCCTGTGTGTTTGTGACTCTCTCTCTCTGTGTTCCTTATTTCTCTCTCCATCTCTGTCTCTGTCTTTCTCTGTTTCCCTTGCCAAGTCTTTCTCCTCTCTTGCTCTTTCTGTCTTCTCTCATCTCTCTGTCTTTCATTTCTTTATGTTTCTCTCTCTGTCTCTCATCTTTGTGTCTCTGTCTCTCTGAGTCTCTGTCTCATCTCTGGCTCTCTGTGTCTCCCTCATCTCTCTATCTCTGTCTCTCATCCCTGTCTCTCTCTATTTTCTCTCCACTTCTGTCTCTCTGTGTGTGTCTCTCTCTCTCTCATCTGTTTTCTCCCCACTTCTGTCTCTCTGGTGGAGGGTAGGGAGGTCCCCAAGTCCCCATCTCTGAAGCCCCTGGTGACCTGAGGAGGACTCCAGGTCGTGCCCTGGTGGGGGGCACCCTGAGCAGCAGGAGTGGTGGTGGGGGGCTCACCCCCCCACCCCGGGGCTCCATCAGGCGCCCGCTGTGAGTTCCTGCGTGTGGGGAGCCCGGGCGATATGTCACCACTGGGTCCCAGGACAAGCCACTGTGGCTGACGGCTTTGGTGGTGTGGCGTGTGTGCACTTGTGTGCCCGAGGAAGGGCGTGAGGCTGGAGCGCCTAGAGCCGGGGATCGAGAGGACCCGGCTCTGGCCCTCCATTTCGACCTAAAGAAAGGACGATGGGGCCGGGCACAGTGGCTCACGCCTGTACTCCCAGCAACTTGCAAGGCTGAGACAAGAGTATCACTTGATCCCAGAGTTTGAGACCAGCTGGGCAACACAGCAAGCCCTGGTCTCTACAAAAAAATAAAAAAATAAGCCGGACTCGGTGGTTCAGCCTGCAATCCCGCGCCTTTGGGAGGCTGAGGTGAGTGGATTGCCTGAGCCTGCGGGTTCGAGACCCGCCTGGGCAACCTGGCGAGACCTTATCTCTACAATAAATCAAAAAACTAGCCGGGCGTGGTAGCGTGCACCTGTAGTTCCGGCTACTCGGAAGGCTGAGGCGGAAGGATCGCCAGAGC